GAAGCCCGGCTGCTTCCAGCAGGATCATCAAGGGGCTGCTCCTCCTAATCTGTGATGGCCCAACTCTGCTGCTCGGCCTCGCTTGATCCTGAATCCTGGAGCTGCTCCCGCTTGTCCTTGCGGAAGGTGGAGACGGAGCCGCTGGAAGCGGCATCTGCGGAGGAACAGGGAAAGCGCAAGAGATCTGAACACGCTGATGGTCCAAACGCCCTCCCTGGGCAGCCCTGAATTTGGACAAGTCAAAAACAAATATATTTTTTCAGAATTTTGCCTGTCATAACATTGGGCTTCTCCAGAAATGTCAGCGAGAGGGGGCATTTAAAAAATCCTTTAATTTCTTGGAGAAAGGGGTTGGCCAGTACAACAGCAGGCGCTTGTGTTTTAATCCACTTCAATGGATGTAAATGGATGTAATTGCTCCATTGATCCTGGAGCAATTCCAAACATCCAGCAAATGAGGACACTGCCCCTGGGGGCTGCCTTTTTGGAGGTGCCTTGTTGGGCTTTTTCCTACCTTTTAGTGTTCTGTTAGTGTGCGCTGGCGAGGCGGTTTGAGGAATCGAATCCCTTTTCTAACGCGACTAAAACCCTTTTTCTTTTCCTTTCTCAGTCGACAGGCAAGATCCGAAAGCTGAAAGGGAGGACGGTGACATCTCTTTGAAAATAGCCTCGGTTTTGCCCGGCCTTCAGTACGCCGTGCGGAAAGCCACCAGGTCCTCCCACGGGGACACCGGCAGCACCGGCCTACAAATAAAACGGCACTTCCAGGAATTTGCCAAACTTGAGCAAAACGCACAGCCTACCTCTGGCCAAAACAGCCCAGTTCCCCTTTCTTCTCTCCTGTCACCAGCCGAGGACGAAGGTACTAATCCCCTTACAAAATGCTCCGAGCAGTCCTTTTCCCAGCTGCAGCGTTACCTCTCCGATCCCAGCAGCTATTCCCTGGAAATTTCGGCTGCTTTAGGCTGCTTGGCCGGTGCCGCTCAGTCCCTTTGCTGCAGCTCGGAGGCTGTTTGTAACGTGGGCTTCTCTCTAGCGGTGCCGCCGGATCCTGTTCCTCCCGGCGCAGCAGCACCGAAGGAGAAGAGTGAAACCCCCAAAGCTGCCGTGGGGCTGCCCCAGGGTGGCAAAGGGACCCCAGCAGATGCCAGCTCAACCAACAAGCTCCGGGCGCAGCAGAGCAGGAGGAAATCCAGCCGAGCCATCGTGAGCAGCAGCAGGAAGAAATGGTCCCCCCTCAAGATGCAAATTCATCCCGCGGGGGACGGCGGCAGAAGCAGGAGAGCGGCCAAGAAGAAAAAACTCAACTTCGCTTTTCCGAAGAAGCCGGGACTTGCGGCCGGTCCCGGCGAGCCCATGCTCAAACTGGCCAATTTGCAGTTTCCGCACAGAAGGAAAAGAGGTGAGTGCTGCAAAACTGGGGAGAAACTCGGTGCAATCAGCAGCTCTGCCAGGTTGGTTGTCACATCCCTTCTCCGAGGGCTGTCAGCGTCTTGGGCACGGAGTAGGTGCTCATCCGTGGTTGTTCCGGGTTGTCTGGATGACCAGACACCCCCTGTGAGCACAAACCTACTCCTGAGCCCTTCCCTTGGAGGGCACAAGGGTGCCAGGAGGGAGCTGCATCCCTGGAGATCACATCTTTTAGATCAGCAGAGCAGGGTCTTGATGAGCTGTTTAATTTTTAATAAGCGCTTGCTGATCTCCCATCCTGTGAGCCTCGCTTTCAAATTTAAATAACGTCTCAAAACAAAAGCCTCCCCTTGCCTTTCCCATCCCCAGGTGCAGAGGTCCTGTCTGCAGAATTTGTGCACAAAACGCAGGCCGAGCCGGTGCAGGAGGCAGCCAGCAGCCCTGTCCTGGAGGCAAAGAGAGCCAAGACGCTGCAGAATCCCGATGGGAAGAAGGTTCCCAGCGCCCAGGCAGCCCCAGAGCCCCTGAAGAGGAAGGTGATAAAAAGCTCCTCGAAGCCTCAAGCCAAAAAGCCAGCAGAAAACGGTAAGAACAGGGTTTTCCACGGAGATCTCCATGGCCGTGACCAGGAATGTCCCCAGTGGGACAAACCCCATGGGTCTTTTCCCGCTTCTTTCCCATCCCCTGTGTTTGCATCCTTGGCAAACCGCTGGGATAGCCGAAACCGCTCGGTTTGAGCGGCTGCACTCGGAAGCAGGCGGCTCCCGGCCGACGTGCTCCAGCCTCGCAGCCAGGATCCGCCTGGATTTGTAGCCCGGGACGTTATAAATCCGGTGGTTTTTAAAAACGGTGTCACACCCTTCGCAGACAGACTGGAAAAGCCCCGAGCGCAGCGTCTGCGCCGACACTGAAAGCCACTATCACAGTGCCAAGCTAAACACTGGAAAGGGAGAGTCATTTTGGGGATAATTTGCCCTGTTTTCTCACCCACGGGCTTTGATGTCCTCTTCCAGAGCCCTCTCCAGTCTTTCTCCCTCCCCTTCCCGGCAGAGGAAGAGGAGGCTTTGAAGGCTGAGTTTGTCCCCTTGGCTCAGTTTGCTCCTTCCTTCACAACTTCATATTTATTTTATGAGTAGCATAACAAGATGCTTAACAGTCAAATAACAATATTTTATCAAAGGGGAGTTTTTAACACCAAAATCTCGGTGTAGATTTATTCTCTCTCCTCTGTCTGCCTTTGAGAGAGCCCGGGTTTTTGCACTCACCCTGTGGTCCTGCTCAGGGGCAGGTTATGCTCTTAGGAAGAACATGCAGAAGGAGATGCTAGAGCAGATTGGCTTTTCTCTGTGTTTTAGAGCATTTTCTTTTTGTAACTGTGTGGATCACCCAAAGCACAACACAGGGTTTTTCTGTGTGTGCAAATATTCAGATAAAAAGAAAGCAGAAAGCGAAGAAAAAGACTTAGGGAAACACTTAGAAATACCTCCCATTGCCCTGGCATTTTCCCTTCCTGGCCAAGTCACCCTGTGTGTGGAGGTCGGGGGAATTTTGCTCACTCCATTTCATTTCTGAGGATTTATTTCTGAGGATAGCAGCCGTGGCCCACACGGCCATGGAGTTCTCTCCTTAAATACACCAAATTCCTGTTGGAGAATCCCTTTTTCCTGCCAAACTGAGCCCGTTGGATACAGAGGAGGTTGTGGGTGCCACAGGGCCCATGCTAAAGTCATTCGT